TAAACACAATCTACAAAGAAAAATTGGATTTATTGTTTCATAATAGACTAGTGCTACTTCATTTTCTTCAACTTTCAAGTACCAGAGTCTGTAGTCATAATATTTTAGGGCCATAAACAATGTGCTAGTGTGCTACAAGGTGAAATGTCATCCTCCATGGATATTAGCACATCAACTACTTCCAAAATAATTGGAGACCTTTACGTGGGTTCCATCCTAACTCAATTACTAGTCTCTCAAGGATCCTCCAATTCTTCCATTCTTTTTTCAACTACCCCATCTTTGTTTCATTTCTTGACTGTCATAGGTAAGTCCCGTGTCATTTTTCAACTTAGGCCCCATTCCGTTCAACTTATTTTTTCTGATCTGATCTGTTTTAATAAGTTTTGATCTCTTCTGATCTGATCTGATCTGGTTTGATCTGATCTGATCTGATTAATTATGATTTGATTTAAAATTCAAATCAATAATTTAATTTGACTTTATAATAACGTTTGAAAATTGTAATGATAATTCATATTATAATGTAATCAATATTTTTTATTTAATTAATATTTTTTAATAAAATAAAATTAGTTAATTCATATATTAGAATAATCATTCATATTATAATCTAATTATATTTTTTATTTTATGATTATTTTTTTGTGAAATTAGAATATTATTATTATATTTTTAATAATTACTTCGAATAGACATTAGAATAAATATTTAATTTATATATACATTAAAAAGTAATTAAATTTAGATAATCAATATATAGAAGAGATAGTATTTTTTTTAAAATATCTCATCCTTATAAAAGATCAAAACTTTAGAAACTCAAATTACAAGTAGCAATAAAAATATATTTTAAAAGTAGAATTGGATTGACATTGTCAATGTATTTTAAAACTATTTTTTCCGACGTCTAATAATTAAGGATTACTTTCTCAGTTTTCTATTTAACCTGTTTCTAAAGTTTATTCTTTTTCATTTTTAAGAACAATGATAATAATGATAATAATGATAATAATAATAATAATAATAATAATAATAATTCTTGATGGGATCTGATTTTTATAAGTTTTGATCTAATCTGATCTGATCTGATCTGATTGGATCTGATTTGATCTGATTTGATCTGATTGGATCTAATATGATCTGATCTGATCTGATTCGATCTTATCTGATCTGGTCGGATCTGATCTGATTTTAACAAGAATAAGAAAAAATAAGAAAAAATAAGTTGAACGGAATGGGGCCTTAGTGGCTATGTTAATCCATGTAGATTTTTTCAAACCACCTCGAGATTTATTACCACCCTCTAGTTCTATTTTACAGATATCACAACATGTGATAACATGACTTCTCTACCATTGTGCTCTTTCATGAACATTGTGATTATATTGAGAATTGAGCTGTAATAAAACATTTGGTAAACACTGAGTACTATGAGTGATGAAGTATTCAAATTTCCAAATGCTTTGACAAACCTATTATTGAATGAGTGCTATGACCCGATGCTATTAATTTCAATCAAGAATGGCATGTCGATTCTCCTTCCTCCATCGGGGCAAGAATGCCTTTATTGTCTCGCTATTTCTCTACTTAATCATCGTTAGGTGGGTGTAGTATATCCCCAGCTGGCCCCATTTGTCAATGGAATCCCGTGGTATAGTTGAAATCCACTCCGCCACCTTGCTATCGACAGTTTAGAGGAAATAATGACATATCAGCTTGTCCCTAGAACCTACTGAAATCATATTCTAGACATAATTGCAAGGTGTTTTTGGGGATTAAATTCCATCATACCTTCTCATAGGTGAGACTTTGAATCCTTCTAGATATGGGAATGCATAACCCAAGTCTTCTTATAGCAGGATTATGGTCTCGCCCATTTGCTCTTTTACAAGAATTCTGTCTTTTATCTAGATCATGGAAATCCTTAGATGGTCCTAGAACTGGCCTTAGACTTTCTTACTTTTCTTACGGATGACCACGCATAACTCCAAATTGTCTTAGTGGCCGGTCTTGCCCTAGGATTTGGTCCCAACCTCAGAAACTAGGACTTTAGCATCAAATAACCTTCCAAATACTTTGCCCCCAGGTAGCAACCTCCACATCATGTTGTGGCTACTAGGGGTAAGTTCAGTTTTGGCTGTTCAATTTTTACCCAAAGCCAAAGACAAAATGGAAAGTAAGTTAGTGGTTTTGTTTGGTTCAGTTTTACATAAAAAATATGTAAACCATTGGTTATTCAGTTAGGTTTTATGCGGTTTTTTTGGCTTATTTCGGGTTTTTCGATTTATAATAGTAGAAATTTGTAAGCGCTAAAAAATTATAAAAATCATTACTCGATGTAGCAATAACAATATGTAGGATTGGGTTCGAATTTTCGGTTTGATTTTTATGCAAAAGAAAAAATCAAATGGATAGTTAGTGTTTGTTCGGTTCAACTTTACATAAAAATATGTGTCGAGTGCCCAGCAAACATCTAGGAGATTTTAAATACTTCAAAAGACATTGTGTGTAAATATTTAGTACGGAGAATTTGCATTTTTGGTATAATATGTTCATTTCCATAATAACATCAAAGGTTTTTTTTATGTAAAACTGTAAAATACTCATATCAATTTTTAATGTTCATATAATTCTGTGTTTTAGGATTAGTTATTGGTGTTTATATTCTTAGGTTTTTTAAAAGTTTACAATATGATTCAAGATGTTAAATTCATAGTTAATAAAATAACTTTAATCGACTAGTCAATTATTTGCATTTATATTTCTATGATTTTTTACATATGACATATGCTCATAAAATAAAGCGAAGTACCTAAGAGAGTTTGGTTTATTCGATTTGGTATTCAAAGTGAAAATCAAAACAAGAACGATTCAGTTCTGTTTTTTTACACTCGGTTTCAAATGTTTCGGTTTGGTTTTTGTTTAACTCGTTTTGATTGGTTTTGATTTGATTTTCGGTTTTCAGTTTTCCCAACACAGCCATAGTGGCTGGTTTTGGTCCCGGGATAGGGGTATATCAAGGAAATACTCGCGTGGCCCCAATCCTGCGCTAGTTGCCTTGACCACCCACAACTCTCTTTAACGTGATCTGCCCATTAAATTCCCCTCGTTTTCACACTCCAATTCAAGTCTTGGTTGGGGAAAATCTGTTTGTCGCATCTCCGGACTCAGAAAGGTGCCGGCAATGGCGATGGGGCATGCATTCCAAGAACTAGGCAGACAACAATTGGATCATTTGGAATCGGCGAATAAGAGGGACTAGGCAATCGATCCAACTTGTCCATGACATTGGACAACTTCATCGCAATGTAATTCATCGCCGCCTCCATCATAGAAGGTTGAGTAATGAAAGGCCATACTCTCGTGGACGGTGGGGGGGGGGGGGGGCNGGGGGCTAGCAGACGACTGGATTATCGTCAAAACTGCACGCGTGATGTTATTTCAGGTTTTCTTACTGGCTATAACTTTCTCAAGAATTTTACACAGCTCTCAAATAAAAGTAAGAAAGTAAATCTTACAATATGCCATGTATTGAAAATTTTTGGTTACCTCTCCTTTAACTGGGGGTCTATTTATACATCTTACGAGGAGGCAAATCAGGAATCCAAATCTGGGAAGGAATTAGATCTCACCCCTAATTTTGCGTCTCAAGTTGCTTATTTCCTATTACAATATAACCTCCTTAAATCTAGAACATTCTCATAGGCCTAAGCACTTTCCCTATCCGGTCCACTCTCGTTCCCCTTCCGCATCTTGCTGCAAGCCCATGGCCTTTTGGGTATGGGCGGATCAGGCCCACTCATGAGATTAACTTGTGGACGCAATCTCCATCAATTGCAAGCCGAAAATTGAGTTTTCTAATGGTTGTAGTAAAATCTATCACGAACCAAACTGAACCATTTTAAAAATGGTACAAGATGAGTTCCAAAAAAATAGAAACCAAAAATACTAAACCCAACTGTTACCACTAATATGTTAAATCAATAGATTAATTATATATTTTCATTTGTTATTTTTAGTAAATTTAAGTTAAATTTATTCGTTGTGACTTTAATATACTTAAATTTATAGTTTCATAATATTTTATTACCCCCAAGTATAATTAAAATTTTAATTTTATTTGTTAAAAAATCAAACTACAATTATGTTTTGTCAAAAACTGTAAATAAACAATGCACTTGTTGAGATAAAAATGCATAGCACCACTTTTTTTTAATACCGTGGATTGTTCTTTATGAACAAAAATATTTTGAAAGCATCGAATTATAATATGAAAAAGACTAAAATAGTAGTAAAATATTGAAAATACATGAAAATAAGAGTTTTCTATTTTTATTTTTAAAGTAGGAGTTAAAATGCACATGTAATGTCAATCATGAGTTTATACATTACTAAAAAATATTATAAAAATTTATATACAATGTCACGCAGAAAATTACTCGCGGGTGACGCAAGTTTTGTCGAAATAACTCTCAGGTCCCTCTATTTTCAAGAAGATCACGGAGGTCCTTTCATTTTGTTGTAATGACTGGGAGGGGACATTCCACCAATATTTCATCCATAAACGTAAATAAATGTATTTTTTTCTTATTTTTTTCTAAATGTTTTAAGGTAATAAATCTTAGGTCACTTCTTTTTTTATTTCTTTGTTTTTCTTGTTTTATACTCTTTTTTAAAGTATTATTTTAGAATTTCTTCTATAAAATCGAATAAAAATTCAAAATTGTTTGTATTATATTAAAATAAATGAAATAAAATATTTTCTAAAAAAGAAAAAACCGAGTAATGGCAAAATAGGAAAAAACGGTAATGGAAAAATAGGAAAAAAATACATTTATTAACACTTATGGATGAAATATTGGATGAAATGTCTCCTCCCACTCATTACAACAAAATATAAGGAACTCAGTTGTCTTAATGAAAATAGAAGGACTTGATAATTATTTCGACAAAACTCACGTCACCCGTAAGTAATTTTCTGCAATGTCACGTTACCACGTTATAAACTCTAATTTTGGAATAAAAGGGTCTAAGCATGAACCGAATAGAAAACGATACCCAAATGTTTGAATAGTAATGAGATGGTACTGGTTGAACCCTGCCGGACCTTATACTCGGGTAATAGACTAGCGGCGATTTTATTTCAGGCTTTCACCGTTTCACGCTTCAGTGCACCCAATCCGGCAATCCCCATCGTCCTTCATCTAGTCAGACGACCAGCGGCAGCGAGCACGGAACATCTATAGCCTCTTCGTTCCAATTTTCTTGCGGAGTTTCAGGTCTGCATCTTACTATCTTGGATCGATTAACTCTATATTTTTTATTTAAATAGAGAAGTTATTGAATTACTGAATGATGTGAATTCGGTTGTTATGTTGTTCGTTGAAACTTGAATTTACAGATTATGTTTCTAACTTGCCACATGTGTGATTTCGAAGAAGCTGGGTTGAGATTTGATTAATTGATTTCTTGATTAATGAGTTTGATTTCTTGTTCAGCTTTAGAGCTGGGAGCATAGATAAATGTTTTTGTTAATTTGAGTTAATGATTTTTTAATCTGCTAGTTTTTTTAGCTGCTAGTTAAGAATTTCTAATTTGTTTTTGAGCTGTTTGTTTGAGTTAAGCATAGAAAAGTTTTGTGTTTCTAATTTTTTTGTTTAATTTGAGTTAAAGATTTTGTTTGCATATCCCATTTCAATTATTTTCCCATTTCAATTACTTTTAGTGATTGAATGATGCATTGTTGATTGTTTAGAAATTGGAAGTCATGAGACAAAATTAGTTTGTACTCAATTAACTCAAAATGTATTCAAAGTTTAAATCATTGTGGTTAATGACCTTTTTTTACCATCTCGTCCCGGGCCCCTAAATCCTCAGGATCTGCCCTGTTGACTTGTTTTTTTTTGGGGGGGGGGGGGGNTTTAGCTGCTAGTTAAGAATTTCTAATTTGTTTTTGAGCTGTTTGTTTGAGTTAAGCATAGATAAGTTTTGTGTTTCCAATTTTTTTGTTTAATTTGAGTTAAAGATTTTGTTTTCATATCCCATTTCAATTATTTTCCCATTTCATTTACTTTTAGTGATTGAATGATGCATTGTTTAGAAATTGGAAGTCATGAGACAAAATTAGTTTGTACTCAATTAACTCAAAATGTATTCAAAGTTTAAATCATTGTGGTTAATGACCTTTTTTTACCATCTCGTCCCGGCCCCCTAAATCCTCAGGATCTGCCCTGTTGACTTGTTTTTTTTGGGGGGGGGGGGGGGGGAAGCAATGCTCCATTAGTAGTACTCAAAGTAATTGAAACTAATACATCAAAATTGGAGGCAAACGAGCAACAAGCTGTGCTGCTAGCCCATTTTGTAAAAATGCGCTAGGCATGGATTTAGGCAGGGAAAAAACCTATGCACCCTAGTCCCTAGGATCGCCTGAGGGTGTATTTAGATGGAAAGTTTTGGAGGATTTAGTCTACATCTTGATACTCAGTATTTAACACGATATGCATTTGTATGACATTTCAGTCATCTTTTATTTGTTTTTAGAAACTATATTTTTCAAGTTAAAATTGACTAGCATAATATAGGGTATTTTGTCTTGCTAATTATCATGCATGTTCTCTTTTTATAACTATAACATTAATTTTACTATGCCTGAGCAGGCAACATTGGCTGTGTTCAAATTTTGACTTGTATGAAAAGATCTTGCCTGTGAATAATCAATGGCTGACAACACGGAAATTGATGACCGTGTGGATCTTTACGATGATAACTACAATGAAGAGGATGATGATGTCGAAGAAGAACCTATGGAAGATGAAGAAGCAGAAGATGGTGGTGAGGAAAACGATGAAGAACAACCAGAAGATTTAGAACGCGGGGATAGCGGGGAAGAGCCGTCACCTGATGAAACAGATAAAATAAAAGAAAATTCTGGAGCTTCATTGAGTGAAGATGAGAAAAAGAAGTTCGCCGAACTCCTTAATCTTCCTCCACAAGGGTCTGAAGTCTTTATTGGTGGGCTATCTAAAGATATTACAGAAGAAGACCTCAAGGATCTCTGTGAACCAATTGGTGACATTGTTGAAGTTAGTCTTCACTCATCTTTTATTCTGATTTGTAGTCATAATCCGCGTTTTCTGCTTATCAGCAATCACTGGTTCCTCTGAAATGGATATTTACCACTTACCAACCAATTTCCTTGTCTGAAAAGTCAGCAGATTACACTTAAATTTATTGGTTGTAATGTCTGCATTGTTTTGTCTGATATTGGTTCATTTTGCAGATTAGGGTCATGAAAAATAGAGACACTGGAGAAAGCAAGGGTTTTGCTTTTGTAGCATTTGGAGCAAAAGATGTTGCTCAAAAGGCCATCCAGGAGTTGCATAACAAGGAATTCAAGGTAATGTTTTCAACAGTCTCTATCCAGTTGACCATTTTTTCATGTTATGAGGGTTCATATCATAAACACAACATGGTCGATTTTGTTCTCTATTCAGGGCAGAAAGTTAAGGTGTTCTTTATCAGAAACTAAGTACAGATTGTTCATTGGTAATGTTCCAAAGAGCTGGTCTGATGAAGAGTTCAAAAACGTCATAGATGAGACTGGACCCGGTGCAGAAAATATAGAACTCATAAAGGTGTCCTTTTGAGAATTGATATTAAATTCTTAGTAATTTCAGGAATTGGCATTTCTCTATTTAGATTATATAATTTTGTTTCTCACCTGACATTATTATCTGGCTGCAGGATCCTCAAAATCCTTTACGCAATCGGGGCTTTGCTTTTGTTGAATATTACAACAATGCTTGTGCAGATTACTCGAGGCAAAAAATGTCAAATGCAAACTTTAAGCTGGAGGGTAATACCCCAACAGTCACCTGGGCTGACCCAAAGCTCACACCTGATACTTCTGCTGCTGCTTCTCAGGTTCGAAATCTTGCTCTTGGAGTTTTCTGTATATTTGGTGTATCCTAGTTTTCTTATACCTGCATTTAAGTTACCAGATTTTGTCCAATTCTCAAGTAACCTTTTGAGAACATATGAATTTCGTTGTGTGGCTGAATTTTTTGTTTGCTTCTTGGGCTTCGTTTGTTTCCAAGAAAACAGTCTCCGTGAAAAAGTTCTTGTTATCCCGTGTTTGACACACAAGAAAACAGTCTCCAGGAAAAATTCTTGTTATCCTGTGTTTGACACATAAGAAAACATTGCCTGGAAATATTTTATGTGCTTGGTATTTTCCTTTCCATGTTATCTTTTTATGTAGGTCAACCAAGGTTATAGGTAGAACAACTTATTTTCCAGGAAACCATTTTCTTTCTTCCGAAAATGGGTTTTCCTTGATTCAGTCATAGTTATACTTTCCTGTGGTTGACATCTTATAATATAGGTCAAGGCTCTATACGTGAAGAATATTCCAGAAAATACACCTACTGAGCAATTGAAGGAGCTCTTCGAACGCCATGGAGAAGTCACTAAGGTTGTCACACCACCAGCTAGAAGTGGCGGAAAGCGGGACTTTGGATTTGTTCACTTTGCGGAAAGGTCCAGTGCATTAAAAGCAATCAAAGAGACTGAAAAATATGAAATTAATGGTACATCTCCCTACTAGTTTCTTGGTCCTATATGATTGAAATCTAAGCAACAACCGTAGTTGGATTGCAAAGATGACCTTTTTTCAAAAAGTAATAATGTATATAGCACTGAAACGGAGACGGGGACGGAGACGAAACGAAACGGACACGCCAAAACGGCTATTTTGAAAAAATGAAGAGACGAAATGCCGGGGAAACACGAAATTTATATATATAAATTTTATATATAAATAAATAAACAGATATATATATATATATACCATACTTATCAAGGCATTGCCTAGGCGACGCCTAAGCGTCTGGGCGAGGTGATATGGACGCCTAACCTCACGCCTAGCTTTTTTTTTACCTGGGCGATCTTGGCGTCCTTTTGGCGTCTGGAAGCTGCGATTAGGCGAGTGGGCGACACCCAGCGTTATTTTTAAAAAAAATAAATTAAAAGCCCACTTGCGATAACGAAATAAAACCTAGCCGGTCAACATCCCTTCCAGTCTACTGCTCCAGTTTTGATAACCCTCTCTCTCTCGCATCTTCTTTTCCGATTCTCTGCATCAACGTCGCGGCTGAGTTTCCTCATCTATCTCCAACGAACGACGCATCAAGGCATCTTCTTTTCCGATTCTCTGATTCAATTGTTTCTGTTTCTTTAAGGTTCCGATACATAAGCATAGCTTTAGATTCAGTTTTTATATATTTTTTGGCACTTATTTGTTTGAGTACTTCTCGGCAGAGAGTACTTTTCCAGAAAAGACTTTTTTATCCTTTTTTTACTCTCTCCTCTTCTTTTGGTACTTAACTTTTTTTAGTATCTTTTTAAATTTATTTTTTCAAACAATATTTATTCATATATTTCAGATTCTTAATGGCCGAACCTAACGAAAATGAAGAGTATGATGACTACATATAAAATTATTAAGGTCGCCGTAACCCACTCGCCTAGGGGACGCCTACTCGCCTAGGCGGGCGCCTATTCGCCTAGGCGTCTGGAAGGTACACTAACGCCTAGCCTCGCCTAGCCGCCGTGACAACTATGATATATACACACACACACATATATATATGACATTTTTAACTGTATTTTTAGAGATGAACCAACATACTGATTTTCAACAATTAAATTTGGAAGAAAAAGTATATGAATTTCACAAAAAAAAACAGTCCTGCGTAGTACAAATATGAATCGTATCTTTGAAATTTTCCGATCTAGAAGTCACTTGACCAGCGGCGTAAGCTTCTCCCTTTGTCGGCGAGAAGCTTATTTGGAGAGAAGTCTTCTCCCTTTGGGGCGAGTAGTTGGCGACAGTTGGTTGTGTAAGCTTCTTCAAGGGCTGTGGTCGATTGCTGTTGGGTGAATATGAGATAACGGCGTAACATAGAGGAGTGATGGGGATTTAGGGCCACATAAAACTTTCTATAATTTGAGTAAGTTCCAAAACTTTAAAATTTATTAAAAGAACCCCATTTTTTAAAAAGAGGTGTCCATGCCGTTTCCCAAAAGAGACACGCGTGTCCCAGCCGTGTCTTAGGCGTTTTCCCCCCTTTTTTTTAAATTAAAATTACAGAAACGCCACGTGGAGTTTCCGAGACGTCTCCTGGCGTGTCCGTGGCGTGTCGGCGTGTCCAAGGTGTCCGAAACGGGTACGGCAGCCTATATGGAGTTTCCGTGCAACATAGGTAATAATTGAGAATTATGTTCTCAATTAGCTAGCTTATACAAACAAATTGATGGGTAAAATGGACTGAAACAAATTTATTCCAAATTAGGCACAATATACCCAGTCGATGATCACGGTTCACGATCCACATGTTCCCTAGAAAGGTGGGTCTTGGTTTTCCCAGGAGTGGACACTATGATAAACTTGTAACTATAAATATTCCTCCTCCATAGTTGGAGATGGAATTAAATTCTTAATATACAAAGGGTCTTTATAAGCTTCATCCGTTATTATCTTTTAGAGTAAATTCCCAAAATAGAGGACTATATAGGTAATTAGAACTTATTGAGGACTGAATTGGGAAAACACCTTATTACAAAGGACCATTTTGGGAATTTACTCTATCTTTTAATATGATTCACAACATAATTCATATATTCGGGTGGATTAAAGTTCATCACACTGATAAATTATACGGGAATTTTCAGCACTAGCTTCTTCTTATGTGGCCTTTCAATGGTTGAAAGACAAAATCTAAACACTCGACCTTTTTAAAAGTATTAATCATATTCCGTCGTCATTTCAAAGTATTAATCATATCCCATTGTCTTTTTAAAAGTATTAATCATAAACGCGTGACCTTTTTAAAAGAAAACAACTTACCGTGTTACCCCCACTCCATGTAAAATGTTTAGAGATCAAAACAGACAACTTAGCTTCACCACGAAAAACTATTTTTCCCCGGATTTCTCATATGCGGAGTGGATGGATAAATGATTTTTCAGGTCAGGTGTTGGAGGTGGTTCTTGCAAAGCCCCAGACTGATAAGAAGTTTGACATGATGTCTAATCATCACGGCATGTTTCTCCATCCTAATTTCATCCCCCACGCAGCTGGGGGGTATGGCAGTTTTCCCATGAATCCTTATGGGGCAGCGGTAGCTGGTGGCTATGGCGCTGCCGCTGCTGGATTTCAGCAGGTATTTGCTTGCTTGAATTCCCCACACGAACGCCCCTCCTCAACTTGGTTTATATTTATGTTTTTTCTTTGCAGCCTATGATATATGGAAGGGGTCCGATGCCAGCTGGCATGCAAATGGTGCCTATGGTTCTTCCAGATGGACGGATTGGCTACGTCCTGTGAGTTTTTGTTTGTTTCTCTATGTGTTGATTGCGCCATTAAGATTTGACTAAACATTCAACTTTTCACTTAACATAAAAACCATAATTTTCAGTTAAAAGTGAAAAGTTAAAAGTGAATCGATGGAATAGTTTTTTCAAAAGCCGGGTGTTTGGTTTGAAAACATTTTTAGTTTGTTATTACTTTTAAGTTGTTTTATATAGGTAGCTTTCAAGCCACAACATTTCTTTCAAAGTCATGCTACAATCAGTCAATCACACTATGATTGACACCGATACAGTCACACCACGAATGACACTAAGGCTGGCACTGCCAGTGTTTGACTGACAATAAATATTTGTACATTATTGTCTCTAATATTGTTAACCTTGGTGTCTCTTCTTGGGCTTAGTCCAACTAGTCCTCGAATAGTCGTTGGGCTTAGTCACCCACCTAGGGCTTTTTTCTATTGCCCCTATATGTTTTACAATGATACGACTGCATATATTTTGACCCCAATAAAGTTTGGGGTTATACTTAAATAATGAACTTACTATTGAGAGTTTGTGCAGGCAGCAGCCTGGTGGGGTGCAGATGCCAAGTGTACGACCCCGAAGGAACGACAGAATTAACGGGGGCCCACAAGGACGGGGAGGATCTAGTAGTGGTGGTGGCAACGATGATTCCAACCGAAATAGGCGTTTTCGTCCGTACTGATTTGGTAAAAAAATGCGGTAAGTTGTAATATTTATGCCCATATCAGGGATGAAAGCTAAACATTATCTTTTTTTGTGTTTCTTTTCTTTGCTATTGTCGTCAAAATCAAACAAATACAACAAAGCAGAACACGTTTAACTTTGCTAGTTAGATCCTTTGTAGCAACTTATTTGGTGTAACGGATAGCGCGTTTGATTTTAGCGTTGCGTCAATTTATTTGTATTGTTTGACGTCGGGATGCTTTTATTTTTGTTGGGAGTTATAAAGAGCGTTGTTTCTTGTCTTTATTTCTTTATTTCATCTCCCTTTATTCTTTTTTAACTGATTGTTATAACTGATTGTCCTGACTTCACACGTTAAAAATTGAATGAATGTAGACATGATGTATGTCCATATTCATTCAAGTTTTGTATTGCAAGTCATAATGATCGGTCAATGATGTTTTTAAAGTTCTCGTCTAGCTCATCATTCGGGTGCGGTAAGGTTCCAGGTTTCATTGCATAGGGTCATAGGGAGATGGGGCCAGCATAGGACAATGAGCTGGTCATTGTGATGTGGCCGGAACTTGTTGGGTCAGGATGTTGGACCGGTCCTGATAATGAAGGCTATTTCTTAAAATCAGGTCCAAATTAAAGTCAAATAACAAACAAGCTTTGACCTTTGCATATAGTATTACATTTGTCTCAAATTATTTCTTTAATTTAACTTTTTCGAATCAATTATTTTGATGATCAATCAAATAAAATTTACTCTATATATTCTATATTAGTATAAAAGTAAATTTTTAAGATTAATTTTGTAAAAAATTTCAAAAATATATTTTTAGGCAGCGCTAATTTTTATACACAATGCATAAAAAATATTTTGTTGATTTTTTTTAATTTTTTGTAAATACTAGAGATTTAGGACCACAGCAAGCTTTGGCTGAAATGTAAACTAAATATTATTATGTAGCAAGCATAGCAATAAATACTGGATGATATTAGTTAAATACCTATATAAGCATACATTCTAAAAATTTCTTTTTTACAAAGCATTCAATGTATGATCAAGAGGATTGTTTTCTTCGTCGCAACATAATATCTTCAGTTCTTGTCAATTTGTGACACGTGAAATAGCCACATAAAGTTTACCATGACTGAAGATCAGTTCTTTACTAACTTCCATTGTTAATTTGATGTCATATTTTCTATAATTCTATATTTAAATCTTCGACATATAAAATTTAATAATTATTCCTACCAAGCCCATATCAAGAAATTATATGGAAGAAATTAAAGCAGCCCATTAAGCAACTTAAATGCATTAAATTAATGCTTCCTGGGTTAGCTAAAAAAATTACAATCCATTTCTCACAGACCCAATCAGCCCCACCCCACCCCTTCGGTTTACAACATATTTTCGGAGGGTTGTATTTTATTTTTTACTTGCTGTCTTAATATATAGATCTATAATTTTTAATCGTAGATCTAATAGTCCCTGTAAAATATCTATTTATTTAGAATTTATTTTTCAAGGGACGTATTTTTATGTTATGTTTTATTGTGATAGTTTATAGATCTGTATTCTCAAATAATAGATTTAAGAATAACCTTTGTATCATTAAACTTTTAAATTGGGTTTCTTTAGTACAAAATATTTTAGTGTTGATATGTACCAAAATGTCTCTCCTATACACCTTACATATCTAAGTCCTGCACAGGGGCGGCCTTGGGCCTGTGCAGGATGTTCAACCGCACAGGGCCCAAGAAAAACCAGGGCCCAGTTAGTTTTTAAAGATAGTAGTATACTACTCCGTAGTTTTTAATAATAGGCCCAAAATGGTATGATTGTATGAACATATGATTTATTTTAATTGATTGATTTTAATGATCAAATCCCTAATTTTATTTTCTTATTTTTAGTTTTTAAATGTGCGATCTATGTTTTCTTCTTCTATAGTTGAATAGTTTTATGAAATTTGATTTTTAATTACAATGATTAATAAATTATAATTTGATAAAAAACAGTTTTTAAAAATTTTTCTTCTTTTAAAAGTTTTTTTGCTAATTGTTTCAAAATATTCAAATGCTTTAGCACTTTAGCAATTTAGCTCATTTGAGATTTTAGGATTCTCTAAAAAAATCTATATGTCATAGCCTGGGTTATTTTTTTATCAGAATATAAAAAAACCTACTACTTGGTTCTTATAATATTTTTACACTACACTTGTAGAATGGTTCCTAGAATATGGGTTTCGGACTTTCGGACTATGAAAAACGTAAAAATAAAAAGAGACATGAAGAACTTACAATGTCCCATAGAGGAGCACTAGATAAATTTATTCTCAAGGAATCCGAGCATGCCAATGAAAGCAAAAATGATGATGTTTTACTAGAATGTGCAAAGAGAATGTCTCTTTTTATGTAAATTGGTAGTGATGTTTTCTTCCTCATTATAAAAAATTCAATAATTAGTATGAAACTTCTTTAAATTTTACTTTTATCATATATGATAGTCAATAGAGGCCAACTTTTTGTTTTCGCACCGGGCCTATTTTTTCTTTGGACCGGCCCTGGTCCTGCACCCACTCATCACAATGTCACACACCTTTTTTTAAACTTAAAGTTGGGATTGAAGTTTTTTTCAAAAGAGTGTCGTTCTTGACTACAGATTTCCAACGAAATATAAAGTAAATGGCTATTTATCTTTCGTTAAGAGTAGCTCGCCCTAAAACAGATTCTGATCACACATTTTTTGTGGTTGTATTTTACTAATTGAAGTAATCATGTCATTAATGAGTAAATTTCAGTAATGGTACCTCAAGTTTCACTAGAAATCTGGAATTTTGAAGTGGTATCTGAACTTTAAATCCTTTCACAAAAGTACTTGAACTTACATAATTCTTTCACTAAAAGTCAATTTACCCGTTTCCAGGTTAACTTCAAGTCATTTGGGCTAAATTAGAAATTTATATATTTTAAAAATTTCAATTTGACCCCATTTCTTTGTTTCTTTTCCTCCCCCTCCCACTCCCTTCTTTTTCTTCTTCTTTCACCCCTTTTCACACACACACACACATTTTTTTTAAAAACGAAAATTTTATTTCAAAAAGGTAAAAGAAAGGTACAGGGAGGGGAGGACTAGGCCAATGCCCCTCTAGAAATGCACGAAAAAAGAAAACTGAATGAGAAATGAAACGAGAGATAAACAAATGGTCATTCCCAAATTATAAAACCCGGGTGCTGATCCAAAGCGAGGTTTCTGGGCATTATTTTCTTTGGTCTTTTCCCATCTGCCCCAATTGGGCCGACGGGTCCAACATACCAAAAGGGCCCAGAGTAACTTTTGGTAGTGACGATTTTCTCCATTGTGGTTGATTTGCGGCTAGGCCAATATCTAGTGATCTCGCTCACCATTCCAACTTCAAGGTTTGGATCGTAGCTTCTGGTTTTAATCGTCCTTGGTGCAGTTCCCCTCTTCCCCGCTCTTTTGCTGCGTCTGCTCTGGACATCTTGGAAGTTAGGCTCCTCCCTTTGGTTACTTGTCTCCGCTTCTTCAACGTAGGACCTAATTTCATAATGTTCACCATCCACCTCAAAAGACTGAAGAATTGGTCCAATAGTAGTTGAGTCATAACCTGCATAGTTAGTTATAGGTGGGGGAATATTTGTGGTATGTGTAGGATCAGAAATATTTTCATCATCTCCATTCATTGAAGGGGATAATGTGCCATCCATCTCTTTCTCGAGGGAAAGAGTGACACACACACACACACACACACACACATATAATTATCATAACTATATATTTAATATTACTCCCACTAGTATAGCACACTACTCCCTTATAAGTCTTAAGTGTGTGACCCTTTTAGATATCCATAAAACTGGCAATGATATTAAAATAAATTAATACCACAAATAATAAGCATTATCTAGCAACAGATTATTACCCCAGGTTATGAAAAAGATGTTCATCTCATCAATACCTTTTACGACTCTAGACATTCTATAAATGTTATTCTTCTGTCCTAATGTCATGATTTAATACAAGGCATGAGATGTGTATCCTGGTTTAGTTAAATCAGCTGTTATTAAATTTCAAGTGGATTGGAAGGGATCAGATATTTATCAGTCCCTATATAGGAATATATTTGGGCATGGCCATACACTTTCTCAAGTTCTACTATTCAGTGGGCCCGTTGACATTGTAGTATTTCTATACAGTAGAAGGGATAAATCTTATATCTGTTATTCACATCTCTAAATATGCGTAACAGCATACCTACCACATAACCGTACGCCTATCCGTATTTCAGATAACATTAGTTATGAATCAGAGCATACGACTCCACATACCGAGAATGTAATAAAGTCTAAGGATAGTTATACCAAGGTTGAATTGAGAATACTGATAAACACATTATTGTAGATCCATGCAGTATTTTTAGGGTCGGTCAATCCAGTCACATATTATTAATATAATCTGCACCTACGTACAGATTAAGATATCACAATACCTATAGTCCATGAGACGCAACTATCTCATATCGTGCGTACTAGTCTTAATACGTTATGACGTCCGTATTTTCATAAGTTCAACTAGGGATGTTTTAGACTCGGCCTTTGTCAAGAAATAACAGTCTCATTATCAGAACATCGTAGTTCACATCTATGTTACTAAAGCACTATAGTCTATGAACTAAAGATATGTTATTTTACACAAGATATAGAACATACTTCACGGCCTTTTATTCATGATAAAGCGTACAGTTACATAAGTATTTGATTGCGGCCAGGGCACTTAGATACAACAATAGAAATGTCATTCCTTCTATTTATCAGACATATAGAAGTTGGAGTAGAGGGAGGTTCTGGTGGTGTTAGTAACAGTAGTGGAATTCTGCGTTAATTTAATAAATTATATAATGAAATTGGTAATATTATGAAACTAATTTCTTCCTTCTTTTCACAGCTTTAATCGTGGGATTTTGAGAGATTTCAAAGGGTTATGTAACTGCAATTTGCCCAGCCACTCGGATACTCTTATTATTATTATTATTATTATTATTATTATTATTATTATTATTATTATTATTATTATTATTATTATTATTATTATTATTATTATTATTATTAGTGTGTTAGTGTTTGTAACTGCATGAATTTATGGATGCAGTTGTCTCCATATATTATATTTTATTTAATATTCTTAAAATTATAATACACATATGTGGAATTGGTAAAAATTAATATTAATATTTATTATATTTATTTAAGAATTACGATTTTTTAATTTAGAGGAAAGAATTGTTTCATGTATTTAATTTATGGACATTTGTTTGTAAAAATGTGCTACTTTCCAAATTGTCCTTTTTTTATTTTTTTTTCAAATGGAGATGCTTAAGAATGATATGATCAAACCAAATAATAATATTAATTAATTAAACAGTTTGATTCAATAGAAATCTGTGCCACATTTTTAGAAAATAATAGAGTGTAACTAAGAAGGCTTAAATTTTGGTTTTCATTAAAAACAATTGGTAAACATTGAGTCGGCCCAAAACCAAAGGATTTTTTTTTTATAAATGCCGGCCCATTGTTTTAGTCAGGAAAAAATTCTTGATGCTCTTATAAAGAGGTAAACTGTTTGCAACTAATTCGAACATTTAGCCTTATTTTTCACATTCTCGGCAAGTATTTTACATTTTCAGAGAGAAGAGGAGAGGCATGAGGGTTTCCAACGACGGAAACCTCTCGATCGTCATATGATCATCGTGAGTTAGTGGGGTGAAACGAACACCAAAATTCAAGTCTCCTCACTCTGATCTTCCTGGTGCTGAGCTGATTCAAAGGATTGATGAAAGTTTTCTAATAGAGGTGCTACAGTCAAAGCTGCCAGTAAAAGTCGTACGTAGTTCACGCAAAGCAATAGCAGCTCAGATCCTCAAAGTTTGAGCGGAAGGGCCAATAAAGCTAAGGGTATAATCTTCAACCCTTAGATCTGTTATGCTAGGGTTCTGAACTTAAGGCTCCGTTTGGTATAAGGAATTAGTGGAATTGGAATTGAATTGGAATTGTAATTCCATGGGATTCAATTCCATAGAATTGAATTCTGTCAATTTCAATTCATTTTTTGCACTATCAATTCCAAATCTACATAATATTTGTGCTACCAAACACTAGAATTGGAATTGAAGTCCCCAATTCCAATTCCATAGTTTGAATTCCATGTACCAAACGGGGCCTAAGTGTTTTGAGGATTTTTGAGTTGGGTAATTTGTGTTTTGACGGACTTATGTAAAGCTTATTGTACTAAGATGAATGCTTCGTATGATCTTGTTTGGTTAAATTTTATGAATGCTTCAGTGGTGCGTGAGTAGTTAAATTTCTTGGGTTGCTGTTTGAGGTGTGAATTGAAATTGTTGTAGAGATCCACTGTAACCGATACTCTAAAACAATTTAAACCCATAACGCTACACTCTCAATACTATGAGACAGACACAGTGCTAAAGCACTTTTTTGTCAAAGTAAAAACAGTAAATCAAACATGAGAGTTGTTTACGTAGTTCGGAGATCTCTCCTACATCTGTGGGGCCCACGTCCGTGTAATAGCCCTTCCACTAAATCATTGTAAAGATCAAACTTTCAATCACTATTGGTACGAACTAGTGAATTTAACTAATCTACTACAAATGACTTTAACACTTAACTCTGTTAGTGTTACACCCAATGGCTTATTACACCAACCTCGATAACTCCTGTTATTGGACGTGCTATCCGCCCTTCTTCCATCCCTTCTTAGTTCAACAGCCGGATGATGAGTACAACAAATTCATCACAGAATCACGATTAGTATGCAAAGTATTCATGATCTAATTGTGCTTAATCCAACAACTTAATCAGAGTTGATCAGACCCAGCATGGTTCCCGTCTGGTCTATCTTCACAGCCAAGGTTCTACCTCTCTCAATTTCTCACAGAGTTTCTCTCTGTATGCACACCTCAATATCCTGGCGTTTAAAAGTATTTATATCAATGAACTGGTGAGAACTCTAGCATGGTCTTTATAGAACTCATCAACGAACAACACCTCTGCGGCTTATAGGATTCTAAAAAACCGCAAGCTTCTTCAACCAGACTTCTAATCACATACGAAGTAGGATTTGGTGTATACCCGTAGCTGTGTGATGACTTGGCAAGACGCTACAACCTTATAAAGGATAACATTAACTAATCTACTAATTTGTTTTTGTCATTAAAGATAATGCCAACACCTAACATATTGATATACACACATAACCAAAAACCCAAAACCGAACAATCTCCCCCTTTGGCAATCATTTTGACAAAAACAGATCACTACTCTACTCTCTGGCCAGTGTGAATCTCTTCTCCCCCTTTTTTGAACAAAGGTTGCCAAAGGTGTATTATTAAACAATAAGGGAACAAAGAAGAGTAAAGTTCAACCTAAAGCAAGAGAGGTACAATAAATTGATGATTCTAGGAATGAGCCTGCAGGTTGTACCTTCACCAAGTCATCAAATGCATGTGTTGAAACAAGTGGTGTAGTATCAATAAAGAGTAGGGCATCACAAGAGTAGCATGAATAAAACAGAATCCAGCATGTAGATGTAGATGCAAAAACAAAAATCAATACCCACCATAAAGTAGAACAAAGTTGGAAATGTATCCGAAAGAGGGCAGAACAACCCTTAATCATAAATTGTTTGAAGAAAAAGAAAATGTTTTAGTAGATTTGTGCAGAACTAAATCAGGCTGAGCAGTGAGCAGTGTGTAGTGGTGTCATCCTCCCACTCTGTGCTCTCCCCCTGAGATGATGCTTCCTCTGCTTGAGCACCATGAGCAACATGTTCATGTAGCCATATGAGATGCCTGCGCTCCTCCTCAAGGGTTATCCTCTGTTGGTCCACGAGATGAAGCTCTTCCTTGTTTTTCTGCAGTTTGAGATCCAGAAACTTGACAAGTCCATGCACACCACGAGTAGCCTGATGGGGCACTGTCTCCATATTATTGAAATGCCTTCCATCAAAGTGACGGTTGTCAATATGTAGCAGTGGTTCTAGAGGCTCCTCTTTTTCAGCATCCTCCTTAACAAAACCCTGAGAAACAAGCATCTAATAAAAAATTAGCATAGGAAAGGGCAGACCATTATCGTTTTGTTTATAGACAATCAACTTTCCAAGATCCACAAGGACATTGTTCTTTATCTTGTATAGGAGCATCCCCATAGCTTTTGTAACAGTGTTGGTGTGTGAGGTGGCCATCCAATGGCATGTAGCAACCCTGAGAACGATGAAGTAGGAGCTCTTTAATGTAGAGGAGGGAACTTTGTTGGAGGGGTGTTGGATGTTTCGAGCTCCATGGGTGAGTTCTTTCCACCTGGTGACTTCTCCAACCAGCTCATCCTTGTCATCATCCAACCCCAGAAAGTGATTAATGGCTGTGGAGGAGAAAGTGTAGAATTTTCCTCACACAAACACTTTTCCAAATGATGCATCTGAGGGATACACAAATTCTTCACTTAAATTGCAATAAAACTCATGGATACCTTGCTTTACATAGGAGCCAGGCAGAGTGACAGATTTCAAAAGATTCCTAGCATCTAGTAGAGGTATAAGAGTGGTTTTCAAGGCAAAATCCTCCAAATCAATATTGCGTTGAGGCAAAATGTTCTTCTTCTCTATTATTGGCAAGAAAGATTGGGCAACAGAGGAGATGAATACAGAGTTAGAAGACTTCCCTTAGTGGAGATTCAAATTTTTCCTCTTCTTGATGGTTGGGAGCTTTGTGCTGGTGGGAGAACTCTCGGAACTGTTTCTGGCCTTCTTGGTGGGTGGAGGTGACTCTTCACATACAGTTGCTTCAAATCTGGTCTTCCATTTGGACTAACGAATTGGGTTTGAACCAGATTGCTTTGCCTTCTTCTTGGTGCTGTGGGTGGAATGGCCTTGATCATCAGCTTTCTGGAACAGTACTTCAGAAACAGCCAGAAGTCGTTCTTCATCTAGCAGGATTAGGAACTCTTCATCAGTGTTTGCAATCTTTGATGGTGCCTTGGTTGGAGGAGTGTGACTATTGAGTGGAGGGGTTGTAGGCATAGTGCTTCAATTCCTTCTGCGATTGGAGATTTTTTCATGGTGGGTGAATAGTTGTGTGATTCTAATGGCTTCTACTCCAGATACATAATGGCAGGAAGATCGGTGGAGGGTTGAACTTCATCTTGCTCATCGTTGAGAGGTCTTCCATCACTGGGGGAGATTCCATCTTCTTGTGTCCCTTGAACTTCTCTGTGCTCTAGGGCAGCTTCAACTTCTTGATTTTGGTTCAGGGATGTCAGATTCTCATCTTCCTGAGGGATTACAGCTCTTAGTTTTTCCCTAGCTTGAGCAAACCGTTGGAGAAGAGATGTTCTATCCTTAAACTATTCTTAGTCTAAGGCCAATCTCTTTAATGTTTATCAACCCTTAGACGAATTCTAGTTTAAGATAATTAAACTATATTCTAGTTTAAAGTACTCTTAAACAATCCTTGAGTTAGGCCTAGTTTAAGATAAAAGAGGTTTTCAATATCTTAAACTTATCTTCGCTTAAGGCCAACCAGAAACCGAACAACGGAATGCTCATTGTCGGGTTGGGTGGTATCCCCAAACGAGTGATCCTCAAGTTTGGTTTGCGGATCCTGTACGTACGTTTTTACCTAGGCCACCAAATATTTATAATTTTACCCGCAAGGCCTATTTGTAATATATCTTAGAGGTCTTCTAGATAGTATTAGAAACCAACATCAATATGGATATATCTTAGAGTTCTTCTAGATATCCTTAATAGTCATCATTAATTTCCAAAGGGTATATCCTACAATTCTTCTAGATATTCTTAACAATACAAATCATTTCATAATCATCAATGCATTCATTTTAATCATGGTTCAATCATGAATAATCAGTTTAATCAGTGGATTCATTATCCATAATCATCCATGATAATAATTTATCATAATCATCAACCAACATAATATCCAATAACAAATAGCGGCCTAGTTTCGAGTGTTTAACACCCTAACTTACCGTCATGCTTCATATAAGAATTTATTTATCAAAAACATCGTTTTTATTATGAAAAATCATCCTTATAATGATCATAATCAATTGGTATCAAAAATAGGATTTTAGAGCTCAATAATAACATTTTCAGAAAGATTTTCGGAGCACAATTTTGGGGGATCGATCCAGCCCTCTGGATCAATCCATTGTAGAGGAGACATGCATAGGGGATCAATCCACCCCTTTAGATCGATCAAGGCAGTCTGGTTTTCAGCTACTGTTCATCTTCTTCATTCGGGTCAAATTTCAGAAATACCATTTTTAGTTACCAAACATCGACAAAACTATATAGAAATGTTCTTAGGTTCATATTGGTATCACTAATTCATAATTTTTACATCAAATTCAAGGTTTATGATTCTTAGTTCTTCAAGCATGTCAAAAACAAAATTCAACCAAACGACCGTTTATGAACGTAGAAACGATATATACAAACATTCTAGTCACTAGATACATCTACGGGCTTACCTCAATGCTTAATGAAGGTCTTGAGAATTTTCCGGCGAAAGTTCCGGTGACGTTTATGGCTATCTCTTACGACTTCAGACCAAATTGACAACACTTTAATACTCCTCACACTTAACTCTCTCTTTTAGAAGAAGAATGGTGAAGTTTTGAGGGGTTTTTATAGTGGAAGGAAATAGGAAGGAGACATGGCTGATGTCCTCCCTCTGTTACTGTTTTGGCGTCTCGGTGAAGGGAGCGGCGATTTCCACGATTCCAAACGCAAGTCCCTGATTGGGACTAATTTCAGTCCCAGTCGGGGTACACTTTTTGGTCCAACTTTCTCCGAATTGAAATCTGTTTATACTGTTGCGATCGGACAGTTAAACTCTATTCAATGATATAATTATCATATTTATTTGAAATACTTTGTGGATCTTTTCATATAAATTTTACATTTAAAATAAATGCTTATTTAAATACTCCCTCCGTCCTAAAATTAACTTCTCAGTTTGACTTTTGTAGTCAAACTTTTTTACTTTGACTGTATATTAAGAAAAAAATACATTGAATTTTCATATAAATTTATTGGCAATAGATTCATTTTGGAATATAGTTTTGAAATATATAATTTTTATAAAATATATTTATATAAAAATTGAGATATTGATGGTCAAAGTATCGCATTGGAGACCGTGGAAAGTCAAATGAGAAGTTAATTTTAGGACGGAGGGAGTAGTAAAGAAATACTTATTTTGCTCATATATAGGTCAATGGTGGACCTTAGGTCCACCATAGAATTTGACCCTAACAATACATGTTCATAGATTTGTTGAAGTAAAAGATAAAACAAAAATAGCTAGTGAAAAAAAGTATTACTCCTTCGTCCCTAAAAGAATCCCACGTTTTCTTTTTCAACAGTCGTGAGAATTTTTGTTTATATGTATGTTTTCATTGATTATTTGATAAAATAACGTATTCTTAACACTTCTTATTTCGAAGAACTTTTCATGTTGTTTATGTAAATTTTATTTTTTATTTCTATACCAATATTATTTAAATAAACTGAATTGAAAAAAATTGATATTTTGCCTTGATTTTAGAAATGTCACAAACAAATAGGGAAGGAGGGAGTATTTTGGTAAAAGAAATAAAAATAAAAAGCAAATGTTTCGAAAAAAGAAGGGAATATAAATTTTTCTAATGAAATTGTAAATAAAGTTCATCAAGTCTTTTAATTGTAATGAAGGGAGGGAGTATTGTACTTTTATGGTTTGATTTACTATACTTGTTCCGTACATTAGATTTACGTGAAGCAATTGAAGAGCGAGTGTGGAGAGATATGTCAGAAGGAGCCTTTCAGCAAAACATTTGAGCAGGGTTCCAATAAGGGATACATAATGAGATCATCAAATTAAAGGAAATGTGATGAGAAAGGCGATAGTCGTGTTCAGTTTACTAGTCATATTATTATGGCATCACCCACAAAAGCTAATGGAAAAAAATTAAAGTAAGAATAAAACACTAGCTTTATTTCGCAAAAGAAATTTCATTTTGATTTTTAAAAGATTTAAGAAAATATATTTTGATATTGACTTTGCAAAAACACCTTTTGATGTGATGGATAAATTAGAATGTGATGGATAAATTAGAATGTGATGGGTAGATTAATAGACAAAAAATGTGATGTGATAGGTAGATTAAGAATTATTCGGGGTAAAAGTGACTTTTTAATAGAGAAAGGGAAGAGTTTTTTGGGACGAATGAAAAAGGATAGGAGAAGGATTTTGTGAGACGGAGAGAGCATTAAAAATATATCAAAACAGGATTGCCATGTTATTATCTCTGGAAAAGAAGTTAAAATGCATTTATATTAGCAAATATGGTCATGTACATTACCAAAACGTATAGTAGTGTGCACATGTACATTGTCACATTTCTAAAAGCTGATTTCGTACAAAAATCTCAGCACGTAATCTTATAAATTTCCGTTCAGCCCAACATCACTTATCAATGAGGCTTCTAGCCATAGTTTTCACAACTAGACCGGTGACTGAACCGATCAAGGTACTGATTCACTTGTTCACTGGTCGTCGAACTAGTGGTTCAACTGATCGAACCGGTGGTTTAAACATTTTCAAAAATTATATATAAACACACACACCATACATACATATAGACACACACACACATTCTCATTTATAAATACCGAAAGAAAGTAATTTATAACATTTGATTAAAATTATGTTAATATACTTGAGTTATTTTACTAAATTAAAAAATAAAATTTACATATTAAAAAAATAATATTAAATTTTTATAAATAAAGAGTTGATTTTATTTTTTTCAAATAAGTTGTTTAATATTAAAAAACACTCAAATGAAATCTTTCCATGATATACATTTTGTAATAGTATCAATAATATTAATGATTTTGTGTTTGACTCATAGCTATATAATATTATATTTTTAAAATTGAAAAGGAATTTTTATACAATCTTTTTTTAATCATGAAATATTATAATAGACTATGTGAACTTGTAACAAAGAGCACCCTTGCTTGGATGGTTACGAACTCAACCAAATGTTTAAAAGATCTTGGGTTCAAACCCCCACAAAGGCATGTTTTCGACTAGTTGGTTCTTACCGGTTTGGAGCGGTTTGAAGCAGATTACGGTCCAATGGGCTGGATCGGACCGGTTGGACCACCAATTTGCCGGTGGAAATGTTAGATCCAATCAGATCAGATTATATCCAATCAGATCAGAACAAAACAACTCAGATCAAATCAGATCCAATCAAATCAGATTAGATCTAATCAGATCAGATCAGAAATACAAAAAATCAGATCAGATCAGAAAAAATAAGTTAAACGGAACGGAGCCTTGGTCAAAATATGAACCTTTTTTAGAAACGGAGTGAGTAAATGATTTGAAACAAAAAGATTTTAACATATGAAAAAATAAAAACACTTAATTAATATAAATAAACTATAAAAAATCAATTGAGATAATTAATTAAAAATAAACGAAGTATTACTCCCTTAAACATTTTTTCCAACAGTTTTTTTTCTAGCACTTTTCAACTTGTCGAGTTAATTTTTTATCTCTTTCCCATTTCTTTGAGCCTAGTTTGTTCCAACTCATTCAAGTTTTTTTCAACACCATTTGGTTAGATATTAGAAGACAGTAGAAGAAATTGGAAGAAAATAAAAGAGTTAAAAAATGGAAAGAATTGCAAGAAATTAAACTGAAAATAATTAGAACTTGGAGAAAACTCGAAAGAGTTAGAAGAAACTAAAAGAAGTTAAAATAAATTAAAGTAGAAGAAGTTAGAAAGTGCTTTAAAAAATAAAACATGTCTGAAAAATGAAAAAAAATATAGAAATGAGTATTATATTTTAAATTTCATATTTTTTTAAAAAATAAATCATACCTAATCGATTTTAATTAGTAAAAATTGTTTCATACAAGACTAATAGATGTCACATTTCCCTAGATAGGACTATTTCAGTTTTTTTCTTTATATAAGATTTATTTTATATTAAGCTTCCGAATTTAACCTCCTCTGACTTATTTTCCATCTTCCATTTTACATTCTATTTTTGAATTAACATCTCCTTGGCCATTAAATGTGCCTATTTTTTGGAGAATGGCGTCATTATTAGACCTGACAAAACAGAATCGAAATCGATTACCCGAACCGAAATATCCGAAACCGAAATGACCCAAAAATTGGAGATCCGATCTATAACCGAAAACCCGAAATGATCTGAATCGAACTGAAACCGAACTAAATAATTCATATCCGATTTAAATGTGAAACCGATTAGATCCGAAACCGATAATATCCGAACCGATTAAACCCGAAACTGATTAGATCCGAAACCGATAATATCCAAAACCGATTAGATCCGAAACCGATTAGA